CATGAATGAAAAAGGGAGAAAAATCCACATTAAGGAGTAGTGCACGTACAGTACTTTGGGAACAATCACAGGAACTGTTGACCCTGCTGGAATCTTCAGCTGGAAATGTTGTGTACACACATCTATGGTGATAACAGACAATACGTCATTTATTAGAGACAGCCCAGCACTGGTTACTGTCATAGTGCCCCACTTATCTCAACTTCAGACAATAATGAATTGATTAATTTCATAATTTCGTCACTTAGACATGAACAACACATTACACAAGTCACTGCTGGGAGCAGTGCTCTACACACGCCCAACACAACAGTCAAATCCAAAAACAACACAATTACAGTGCCAGATTGATATAAATTCATTAGTTAACTTTACTGTCAGTCATTAAGTTGATAGACTATAACATGTTGTGAATGTAAATGCACTATCGTGGTTTTCCCTTTTGTTTTTTTACGTTTTGTACATAAATTCTACAACTTGCAATATCATGCTGGATAAAGTGAAGCTGCCAGATCAAGGCTGCCTTCTGAGTCGAACATTCTAAGCATCAATCAGTCAAAGACCCCTCAGTCGGCTGAGATTCTTCAAGAACATTTGGTTTCCTTATTTGTCAGTCAGTGAGCAGTGTACTTCAGAAGTAGCTGCAGAGTGATCGCTTCCTGCTTTCACAGTGCTCTCTGGGGTACAATCATTCCACTATGTCAAATCATTGTATCTGCTTGGAGAAGATGTCAGTGATAAGCAACTGCGGAACTCTGTGTGTCCGACACTCTCTAGCTTTTGTATCATGTCCCGTGCCTGCAAAATATCTCGATGCACATTTCTCCTCAGTTGTTATCACAGTTAGCATGCATTAGCTGGGAGGGATAACTTGGCTTGTTGACTATATTAGGTGAACATCAATGTGACACTGACTGTTATGCTGAACCACATTTATAAGGTCAAGAAAGCATTGCTTACTATTTGAAAAAAAGAGAAAGACTATATACAGTATGAAGGACTTCTCTTTGCAGAGTGTCTGAAAACACTTCACAAAGTGCTTTGTGAACAAACAATGCAACTAATCAGACAATAAAAAGCATTTGTCCACAAAAGAGGATGAAGAATTTCACAAATGTGTTTCATGTGTTTTTGTGTTCAATTGTAAAAACAATATCCCATCGAACTGGCTGTACAGACATTTCTGCAGAGCAGTAAACTTAATAGTAGCCTATTATCAAACTTGCCAAAATAAAATTCACATGTTATTCATGGTACATTTTCCTGAAATCATTTAGAAAAAGTGTAAAACAGTGTTCCCCCAAATTCACCAGCTGTCTTGCATTGGATGGCCACAGGAAGAGGCCAGTAGAGTTTCTTTCAACAACTATCTTGGGTCCAATCTCCCTGTGCAAATGAGCAAAGCTTTGGGGATTTCTGGCTTTGCATTCCATAATGCAGCAGAGACTGAGTGCCTCACAAAGCCTGACTGCAGCAAATTCCACACAATGGAACTCCACTTTCTCTCCCTGACTCACTGACACTCAGTCAGACCAAGCCAAAGACAGCAGGGTGAGCAGTAAGAGACATTCAGACCAAATAGTGGCAAGATGACGACCACCAGATAGTAACCCATGCAGAGCTTAAAGGAGGGTGTCACAGAAATGTGTGTCCCTGATAAAGCCATTACCAGGCGGAACCATGCTGTGAAATCAAATCTACAGCCCGGTGACACTATGACACCAAACCCCATTGAAATGATTCACCAGCCTTCCTGCACCCACAAACAGCAGATTCCCCTCATGTTCTGGACACTCACTGCATTCAGCACTGCCATTCAGAAAACCCTCAGGTAAAAAACTGAGAGCTAGTCCCACACTGTGCAATTGCATCAACTGTCCAGCCCTACATTTCCAAATGTCCGTGAGTGAGTAATAGAGTCGGCCAAATTCCGTGTAAATGACCAATGTTACACAATTAGTTGGTCAGTCGAGATTTTGGGAGTTTCCCCGTTGGCCATTGCCATTTCAAATTAATTTGTCGCAAACAGTTTCCATTATGTCACCAGGAGGCGTTTACAAGCAGACCTGCCAAAATTTGTTGCTACATTCTCAGACACCATTTGCAAATTTTCTCCCCAAAAAAATCTAGTGAACTTAAGGACAAACCATAAGTACTTTCCATGGAGGCCACTGGCCAACACCACTCTAGGAGTAAGGGGGAAACCTATATCTATTCAGTCATTGAGCCCAAGCACTATCCACTGTGACAGATAATAGCTGCCCTCACACATGCGCTACTACCCTGAACTTTTTCAGATATTACCTGGAGGAGCTGTATGTGTGAACACAAATGTCCAAACCAGTTGATTTTTATAAATTACAGCAGATCACAACTGACTGACATGTAAACTAACACCATAAGCATGACACCACAGTCATAATAAGCAAATAGCCAAGATGTTAGAATATGGAACACTGGGCTACTGACTTGTGACTTACAAATCCTCCTGTAACCTGACAAGCTTAGTTAGACGTGATAAAAACAGAATAATAATACTTGTGATTGAGTCTTTTTCTGGGGTTACTAAGGTAATGCCAGTAAAACAAACTGTTTATATTTGATGTTGGCAAAATAGTGCTAATGTAAAAACAATCATTTCTCAAACTCCAGCAATTCCCTGAGAAGATATGCAGCAGTGTCATTACAGAGAGGAAACAAAATTTATTATCATGCCTCAAGCAGAAAGTCCATAGAGAAAACAGCTGAAAAACAAATGTAGGCCAGATAGAACAAAAAAAAAAACCGGCCATGTTTCTTTGGTCCAAGTGTCATGTAGAAAAGCTCCTGGCACAAAGCCCATGTGCAGTAGTACTTCAGAGCCAACACTTCTCAATTCTCTACTGCAGTGGCTCAGAGGAAAAAGGGAAACTGAAAGAGATGTTTTGAGTTTCAAAAAATTGAAGACAATGATATTCATTGTTTAAAGCTACTAGGAAACAACTCTGGGTTTAGCGCCTTTTTTATCTGGACTGTTTCCACATTAGAAACGTGCTTATTGATGCATATATAGATGAACACAAACATACCACTCTTGTCCAACTTTCTAACATAACACCTGAGGTCATAAAGGAAATTCAACGCAATATGAAACTGCCTGACTCACTAGAGCAAGACTACAGCTGTAAAAATACATCGAAAAAGGGTCATGCAACAAAATGATTAACAGGAGTAGATTTCATATGATTAACAAATACTGTTAAATTTCAATTTCTTTCCCTGAATTAATTATTATTATTCCTGACTTAAGTCATCAAATCATATTGTGCTACACACACTAAAAGGCTTACATGGCGAGTCATCTCACATTCTTTATAATACTGTAATTTTAAAAAGGTAGAGGGAAGAAGACAGTCTAGACCTATAAAACACACGGCTCCAGGTATCTAAGCAACAAAAAAGATTTGTTCACTTTCTATCACTTTCTATGACTCAATCCTGAAAACCACTTAGGACCTTGAGGAAAGCTCTAACCCTAAAGACCTTGGTTAGTACAATATCCTTTAAAAGCTAACAAAAACTCCAGAAAGAAGTATTCAAAACACATCACACCTTTTTTTAATCCACTTTGACTACTATGTTATAAAGCTTCATTTGATCTACCACAGCAGATAGACCACAAAATTGCAGCAACACAACTCATCCTCACATTTAGACACTCTAGCACACAACAGCGCTTTTTTGAGCTTAAGGTTGGGGAAGATAAGTTCTTGCAGCGCAGACAACCAGCGACGCGAGGGAACATTTTTATACAGCAGAACGAGGGAAGGCCAGGTACGACCTGTATTCATGTACTGACTTGACAGCCGAGCTAAAGCAACAAGTGGCTGGAGCTTCAAAGCTCACACCACCTCAAGATCCTGGGGGAACCAAAGCATGCTCGCCTGCTCTGATCTACCCCTTTGATCAGATTTAGACACATCCTACAGGCACCCTAAACAATCCTTTCATTGCTGTGGTGCAGGGTAAACTTTTTCTTTCCTTTAGGCGGGTATCCGCGCAGACTTGCACCGCGGGTTCCCTTAGAGGCTGTGGGTTTGGCCCAGATGGCAGAGGACAGGGCTAATTCTGAGTACGCTGCTGTGGTACAGGCTGGCAGAGCTGCCCCCTTTGTTGTCCCCCCTATTACTCACAGCCTGAATGAAGCTTTTTATAGACCAGTGCATTATGGACTGAAACACACAACAAGATTGCAGTGGACGACTGAAGACAAAAGGTGCCACATATTTGGGAGGCAGGGGCTTTGTGTGCTCTGACACACTCGGCCACATCACAGAGGAGGTTGTTAAGTTGGGTGACTGCAGCATGAGTGCTCCTGACAACCCGAGACACATCCACAAATGGAAGCACAAGCAGAAAGATGGCAAGGGATCAGGAACTCCTCCATCGAGCTGATCTGGAGCAAAGATCTTCTCTGGGAAATGAAGTCCACATTTTTTTCCCCCTGGAACACGATGACTCTCCCCAAAAGACAGAAGTGTGTGTGTGTGTGTGTGTGTGTGTGTGTGTGTGTGTGTGTGTTGGGGGGGGCTGTGGTTTCAATAAAATCTAATTGGTCTCTCACTTGCAGTCTGCAGAAGTTGTGTGTGTTTCATGTCCCAGGGAAGGAGACGTTAACACTTGCTGTGAAGAGCCCGGTGAAACGCTGAGCATCCCCGCGGCTGTGACCCCAAAGCACCCGTTAGGTGAACCCCTGCTCCGAACAGCTGCAGCCGCACACAGGTGCCCCAACCCGGGGGAACACACTGTGATAGACTGCGGTGTAGCATTACGTAAGTTTAGCTATAGTCCTCGGCTATTCAAAAGGAAAGAAAAAGTTCGTGCTAACTTTGTCAACCGTCAAAACTTCACAACTCTTCCGAGTATTCTCCGCGTTCCACCGCCGCCTCCTCCTCCTCCTCCTCCCCGAGGGTCGCTTCCCGTTCGTTTTTGGGTAAAAAGAAAAAGGAGAGGCTACTCACAGGATGGTGGTCTGGTGGGACACTGTCGGCACGGTTTCCAGGTTTAGGTGCATACATCTCACGGTGGTTCGGAAACACAGGCAGCGGCTCGGGCAGCAGAGTCCGGACCGTGGTCCCCCGACCAGCAACAACAGGGCGGCCGCGAGGAGAGGCGCAGAGAAGAGCTGGGCAGCCCGCAGCGCCATTGCTAGCAGTGAGCCGAGCAGAGCACAGACCGCCAGCTGGCCCTCACACACACAGACACACACACAGACACACACACACACACTCTCACACACACACAGGGAGAGAGGCTGCTCAACTGGGAGAGAGAGAGACCCAGAGACATACACAGAGAGAGAGAGAGAGAGAGAGAGAGAGACCCTCTTCATGCAAGTGAAGCCTCAGTAACAAGAAGTTTGGAAGATTGTTCTCACACTGTTTGCTTTAACTCACCATGCTTCACTTTTTCTGTAAACTCATGTGGACTCATTTCAAAATTAGCAAAAGTGCCACCTCCCCAACATCACAGAATTTGGTACAGCCTGTGTGTATGCTTTTTGCAAATTTGTCCTGATACTAAACTTTGCTGCTGTTTTTAAAAAATCTAGCAAATTTAGCAAATTCACACGACAGATCTCGCTGTTTTCTAAGAGATGGAGCACACTCAAGATAGATGGTAGTCCCAGGACCCCCTCTTGTACGTGTTGCTTTAAAGGTTCAGTGTGTAAGATTTAGTGACATCTAGTGGAGAACGTGTATATTGCATGTTGATAACCTATGGAACCTGTAGTTGTCATAAAAGCGTCTGTCTGGACTACTGTAAAAAAAAAACATGGCTGCCTCCGTAGAGAGGACCCTCTCCTGATGTGTATTTAAATATGAGGGGTTCATTCTAGGGTAAAGAAAACAACAATTTGTACGATTGAGATGAAACACATTATATTCAATTTCTTCCAATAGATCCCTCATATCTTACACACTGGACCTTTAATTATAATTGGACACCTCTACTTAGTTGTATGAAAGGTCAACATGATAGAGATATCTTTAAAAGATATTAGTATTTAAAATATTTTCACCATGTCAACACTGAATATAACATGATATTCTAATGAATGAATCAATTACTGTCCACAGACCCCCATTTGGGAACCACTGCATTATGGGATTAGGTTGTTAGGTGTACTTGAGGACATATGGCTCCTTTCTGTAAAGATGTAACCTTGAAACGTGGAAATAAACACCCTTAAGTAAAAGTGGCAAAGTGTAAACAAACTCCCCTACATGTCCTGCATTCAAAAGTAAGATGTATGACTGTAAATTAAGCTACTCTTACGCAAGCATTATACAAAAACTAATGCTCTCGCTGGTTGAAGTGAAGCTAATTTTAAACCCATATAATATACCAATATAATATAATAAAACAAATTCTTTAAATAATACAAATTATTATTATATAAAATAAATGTAAATAATAATAAAAACATAGCGACTAAAAATAGACCCGTACCGTGTGATGATTAACACTGTACATTAGTTGTGTTTGCTGTATCTACAGAAAGAGGGAACCAGAGAACCCTGCATAAAACAGATGTATACATAAAGTGACAAAACATGCAGGTTTTTCCTGATACAAGGAAAAACTTTTCTGTCTGAGGCGTCACCTGTCCCATCACAGTGGATGATCATTGTACAGAGTGATAACAGGAATAGTTTCCTGTTGCATTCCATGTTACAGCAGAGCTGCAGACGTCTCTTGGATATGATGTTTAAAAAAATGGTATTGTTAAACCAATGAGCAAACACATACAGGTACATCAGGGCCCTGCCACTGGCATAGCTAGATGAAATGCATTGATTAATATTACCGACCTATGCTTGTTCTGACCTTTCTGATCTTTATATACAGTCTATGGTTCTGACATGTTGACACATCTGCCTTGGAGCAGATTTTTAACCTCTGTCAATGGGGAAATATGAAAAAAATGAACAGAGGAATGTAAAGCAAGCTCATAGTTTTAGTTAGTTTGGAAGGACACTGGTGGCCCCTGGTGGTGGCTACGGGGTACTGCCTATTGTATGTTTTTGTTTGTTTGGTTTTACTCCAAAAACACCACATAGTGGTGGTGTGTTAAAAATAATAACTCCAGCTAGCAACCTGAAAATCTTCTTTGTAATATGACTATGTCAAATAGATATTGTTTTCATATGGATAAGAAAATAAATGAATATTCTATTCTCTCAGTCAGCAAAGTAAAGCTAAGCTAATTGGAGAGCTAATTAAGCATTCCATTAATCACAGGTGAGCACTATAAAGATGTCCACCTGATGCACCAATCAGAAATGAGAATGGAAATTTAAATGCCACACCACTTCACTTCACTTAATTTGACATTTTATTTTTTTGAAGAGCTTAATTGACGCGAAGTCAAACTGCATCTACAGCAATGTTGTTTCAGCAGTATGCCTTTGTCAATAGTTTGGGTTTGCTGGCATCTGCTGGTCACATGCTAAAATAACATGTACACAAAATACTCAACTTTACAGTTAAATGGATTTTTTAATTTATTTTATCACAGAGACTGATGCCACAGTCGGAATCTTTATTTAAAGAAGTGCCTGCACATTTATCTCAAATTGTAACTGCATTAACCTCATTCCACACCATGTTCTTGATTTCTGTATTGTGTGGTTGAGAGGTGGACGCATCCCCTGTTGCTGGCACACCGTGGCGTCATTGTTACCATTTCAGCCTTCAACAATACTGTTCCATTACTGTTGTTAGCGTTTCCACAGCCTGACAGGCTGAAGGCACAGATTAATAAGGGCAGCTTTGTTTCAGAATATTCTGGTCCCCTCAATAAAGACAACATATTCTGTGGACTGTGGTATTTTATCTTCATAAAGCTGTGGTCTCCACTGGAGTTTATTGGTGAATTTTCTTCTGTTGTTCTATATCATGGCTCGTAAGGGCCACAATATGTTAAATTAGAAGAAATCTCAAGCAGTTGTGACTCCCACTTTTCTTTTCATGTTATTCCATGTGTCAGGAAGCTGCCACTGCTGTTTTCTCAGTCACCTTCATGACCTTAATTATTTCCTAACACCTTGGTTTTGGTCATTATCTTATTTCTTTTTTATTTCCACCATATGTGCAAAGTCAGGGTTATTTTAATGCCATTATTATTTAATTTATTTATTCAGTTAAATCTGAAGTCAGGACACAAATTGATATATTCCATATTCTATGGAATAGGATAAATGAGGATCTCTAAGTTCCCTGCTGTATGTTATACCATCCTAGTATCAATGTTTAGAGCCTCCCACTATAGTTCTTGGTTGGGTTTTGAACATGATGATGAACTCAGATGTAGCTGCTGTTCTCCTTCAAGAATTTTACTTTCAGTTTTTTCCTGTGTCAGGGTAAGACAGAGGCAGGTGACAGATCAAAGACATTTAATTATGTTCCACTGAGCAAAAATATACTTAAAAGTTAATTGAAAAGCAAAGGTGTAAGTCCAGTGATAGAATTAACCACCCGCTACATTTAAATATGGACCATGCACTACGCTGTATGAGTGGAAATGGAGAATTGTCAGGTCCTGAAGCACAAAAGACTAGAAATGTGTATAAAAGGTTCTGATAAAAGACAACACATCAGTTCAGACTTAGATGAGTCAGTCTGAGGACTCCTCCTGATGAAAGATGGTGTCTCTGGAACTCAGGGCTGTGATAATCACTTCAGACATTGTTAGTGTTTACAAAGACAGTACCCTGGTGGTGAGGGTCATACCTCATACTCAATGTCCTCAGTTTGCTTCTGGCTGAGAGCTGAATTTGAAGTGACAGCATCTAATTCAACAATGTATCAATTATCCATTATTTATCTATTTATCCACTACTGGCAGCTGCTCCCCCTGCAACCCATAGTGGATAAGCAGTATAGATGATGGATGGATGGATCTATTTAGACTAGAGCTCAAGTATTTAAATAATTTGACATTGATTCCTAAGATTTGATAAAGCCCTTTAAAGAATTGTAATTGATAACTTGATATTTTAAATTAAATTGCCGTTTGCTTGCAACAACAACAGGATCATTTGAGGATAGCTTGCCAGTCAGGGGTTGTTTTGAACTCCATTTAATTTGTGAAATTAAGATTGATTGTCTCTGTGTTGGCCCAATGATACGCTAGCAACCTGTCGCCCAATATCAGCTGGGATAAGCTCCTGTTGAAGAGATTCTTCTCACACACAGAGTATCACACAACGCCTCAATAGATTACATATGCATTATCCGACAGACAAAAATCAATACATTTTCTGCTAAACATCTAAAACTACAATGTCCACCCCCCCCACGACCTTCATAGGATCAGCGAGAGAGATCGAAGATGGATGGATGGATAGAAGGAAGCTTCTTCTGTGATAAAGCACTTAAAACTGTGATGTGTTCAGGAGCGTCAATGTGTAATGAGCACAGAAAATGAGTAATATTACAGGCCTCTGGCAACACATTTTTTTTCTTTATTCAGAGTAAGATGTGTCAACATCCAGCATGACAAAAATTGTACAAAGTTCACAATTTATAAATTAAATATCACAGCAACTTGTGATCTCACACATTTATAGCAAAATTAAAATGTCAACAAATCCATGCTGTGTAGTACAAAAATAAATCAAACTTCAGTTCCACAGAGAGCACAATAGTTTATACAAAATCCTGTCTTTGTTAATGGTCACTCAAATCAACCTCGAAATGAATCGGCTCAAAGAAAATGATAAACTCTGATGGATTCACAATAATTTATATGAAAAGTCAGCATTCTAAATACTTGACGACCGTTTTTGTGTTCCCTATAGATAGTCACAGATAACTCTTTTTCAGATTTGTTATTTATGTACCAACATCAGATGAGCAGCCAGTTTGTGCTTTAAAACCCCTTTTTCCATTTTCACTGATAATGAGAAGTAATTCAAAAACTGGTACTAGCTATTACTCTACTGAAGCATTACTATATTGGCAAAAAGCTGCAGACACGATGCTGTGGAGAAAAGGCGTATGCAGTCATGGATGATGGGTAGTAGAGTCCTGAAAGAGGACAGTAAAGTACAATAGATGAGATTCAATCAGGTGAACGACAAGCACCTTCTGCATTAGCTCTCAAAAAGGCAAATTCTGAACATGATCGCTAACAACTAGAACAACAGAACGGAGGGGTGTGCACACAGCTTGTGACTGTGTCACCCCTCGAAAGGTCTCATTCCACCAGACCTACGTTTTCTTCCACTTTTTTTTTTAAAACCTTGAATTGATTGACTATTTAATCCTTTGTACAGTGATTAGATATAAAGTGCTGCTGGGGGATAACTTCATCTTCCTAAAACATAGCAAAAATGAAAGAACATTGTTAATGTTTTTACATAATAGCCTACAGTATAACTGCTATGGTTATAATCATCCGCTTCTCTGATTTCACGTCCCTGTTCCTCCTCTCTCAGTGGTACTAAATCCACGCCCGCAGTGGCTCCGAGCGGTTGGTTGCTCCAATCGAGTGCCAAAGAGGTCGCCTGGAAAAAAATTGCACGCCGCCGTACGCAAAGGATAATATCTTCAAGGACAAGTGCAAATAGTCTACTGGCACATAAGTGGGGACAGTGACCCTGTAAGTCCCGCTGTCATACTCTATAAATACTCTTTACAAAAACCCTCTGAAACCCTCCTTTTTTTTAGGTGCTCGGGTACTGCTTTTAGTTCCTGTAAGAACATCAAAACATGGAAACGAAGGTGTCCCTGTGCAAAATCGTACAGACAAAAAGTGGAACTCATATACTTTCCCATCTAAATCTCAATGTCCAGGTTCCCTCCTCTTTTTTAAAAAGACTTTTGTATTAAAAGATTTGTATAAAAATCAATATTTTACATAGGTTATATTAAAAAGATTCACGTTACCCCGCTATGCTTATAAACAAGAAATTGCATATACCCAACCTTTTTTTTCTTTCCTTTGCGGATTGCATCCTGTACCTACGATAAACAAATTATTTAATTATTATATTGCTGAGACGTTTCTGGATCCTAGCAACAACAGGTCTCGAGATTGAGCAGATTTGATACTAGAAAGGCTAGAATGTGGTCATTGTCTTTACACATCATTTTCTATTTGAGATTAGTTAATAAGGATGAGCATGTGAACATGCATGCACCGCACAGATGTGTTCCTCTAGGAATTTACTCTCCTAGATTAATGGGAATTCCACCATCGGGTTTCCGTGTAATGATGTTTACAATATAACTGTTCATACATACATTCATACAAACATCAGGTCAGTTTCCTTTACAGCACCAATTGAAAATGCCCCCACCTACAGCTACACATCTTTTTTTTTGTTCTTCATCAAAACAAAACACAAACGTTTCTCAAGCATTGTCAGAAAATAAAGCAATTCGCAAACCAGTTCTTGCTCTTGAACAATCTACACGCAAGAAGAAGAGGAGGAGGAGGAGGAGGAGGAGGAGGAGGAGGAGGAGGAGAAAAACAAAACATCTAAAATCATCAAGTCCAAAATCCGCCCGTGAGCAGAAAAATAACTAGCTTCCTCCTGGCTCATAGTTTTTTCGTTTTTATTTCACTGTCCGTTTTTTTCATCTAAAATGCTTTTGTTGTCAAACGATAAAAAGAACTCTCGTTCCGTAATCATTAGCTTGTACTGTTCAGAAATATACACTAAAAATGTGCATACATGAGCAGCTAGAAACATTACATGACACTATGTCAGCTCATATGAAAACGTACAAAATGTGAATGTCCTCAAAAACTATTCTGCGGTGTGTCTCTTTTTATGTTCCTTCTCAAAGCAGGACCCAAAAAAGGAAAAGAATAACGGAAAAGAAATGATCTTGAGGTCTTCCTTAGCATAACACCTCTTTTTTGAGAGAATTCAGAATATATAACACTATATAAGTTACTGCACCGACCGAGGAGCTGAAACCGTCACTGCCTGTTTGTGTGCGGATTTGATGCACCGTCCAAACCTGCCGGGGGAAACAAAAACATGTCCCTTCACTTAGAGAAGTGGTTACACTTGGATCCCTTGCACAGCTTGCTTGATGTTTTCCAACAGGGTTTTGTTTTCCTGGCTCTGGTACTGCTCTTGATTTGTGTACATATCCGTTAGAGTGGTCACATAGGCATCAAAGTTCTGATCGCTGATTTGCTCCTGCAGGAACAAAGACACAACATGGAAGCTGTTAGAGGAACACAGAGTTCTGAGACGGCCTTAAATCTTCATCGCAGTGTAAAGCTTCAAGGAGAAATACAGTATGTGCACATAAATCTTGTTTAATTATATATAATTTTGTGATAATGACATGTGAAGACAGGATTGGCTGTTAAAATAAAAAATAAAACATCATTCTGTTTTGGACAGGAAACTTTACTGTAACTGTCAGTGCACAGATACATGTCTGTATCTGTACTTCGTTCTGGATGCATTTTCCTGCTGGCTTTGCCAATGTGTTCTCTCTTCCCATTAGGATCACATCACACATTTCAAAATAGTTTTTCAAGCCTATGCTATAATAAAATAGGTAAGAATGAATTTCAGCTGTACTAAAGTGTTGTTCCAATTATTTCTGCTGATATTAGTCTATAAATGCCCTGCAGCCCATTGTCTGTGTAGACAATGGGCATTTTTTCCTGTATTACTGTGAGTGACCACTAGGACAAATTGGCAGCAAAGCTAAGGATATTATCGAACAGTCCAAATAATCTAGAAAAAAGAACCAGGGTGAGGAGAAAATACATTTCCTGTCCAAATAAGAAGGACACATTCTGAGAAAGGATGTTTTCATTTCATACAGAGGAAACATTTATTTGTTATCATCACCTAATCACAGGAAATAACAAGACAGATTTAATTGAAAATGAAAAAAAACTAAACTGAAATGTTGAAATAATATAATGACGTGAGAAAAATATGAGGAGAAAAACTTATATAAGTGGAGGAAAAAATATTGTGTCCATTCCATAGTCAGGGGGTTGAAATATGCAGTTGTGATGATGATCATTATGTTTGTTGTTTATTGTGACTCCTGACCGGACAGATGTGACAGAGGAGAAATCAGGAGCTCAGACAATGTGAGGATTCACATCGGTTCTGGATCATGTCATCAAAATGAAAAGTTTTTTATATTAACGTGGGTGTGTCCAGGTGCAACTATTACATTGCTTCGCTTTAAATTGAATGAACTGTGGGGCGGCATTTTCTCCTTTCCTTTCATAAAGGATAGTCCAATGTTTCCTAACCTCAAGGAGAAGAGTTAGGAAGCATTGAAGCTCCTTTCCTAAACATTTAGAATTCGAACAGCTCTTATTATGGCGGCTGCTGAAATACCTCCAGGTCATTTTACTCAGTCAGGAAGGTTCCCAAGCAAAATGGACCATTCAAACGCAGCCTATGTGTTGTTATCACATTCAACATCAGAACTTCTCTTACGTCACATGACTGACATTAAGGAACCCAAAAGGAAAACAAATAAACAACAACAAAACAAACAAAAGAATCCAAACCATAATAATTTGGCAAAATTTAAATTTTCAATATTAAGTATTGTGAGTTTTACATTTAGATTTTCTGCTTTCAAGAAACTAAATGTTGGCCTTTCTTTGCTTCCATAAAAGTTACATTTATAGTGGAGGTGAAAACAAATACTGAAATATGCAGCATGAAAAAAGCCATTTAAATGATACCACTCATTGACTTACTTGCTGGTGCATCTGTAAGCAGCTGTTATTCCGTAGTGGAGGCTCTTTGTGTGCCAGTGGTTTCTGTGGAGATAAAAAAGGACACATTTTATTTAGCTCGCTTTGAGAAACCAAGCTGTTGTATTCACATGTAAACACTAGGTGGCGATATTGAATATAAAGCCATAACACAGAAGGCTTCAAACTGGAAAAGTAGAAGCTGGACATTGATAAGACAAACAAGACAAACACAGAGCCAAGCCAACCCATGTCTTCGGAGTGGACCCCTGGTGTTTTAATGAGATATCATCTGATAAATCTGAAGAACTTAAATTCATTTTACTAAACTGTCATTGATCTTTTTTTTAACTGCTGGAATATGAAAGGATGATGTAATAAAAAAAACGGCTCACCCCTAAGATAAGAATGCTTGACTGAGGTTTAATTCATTCCTTTGTCAATGAATCGTAAATGATCCATTATGCGAGAAGGATAAAACAGGACAGAATAATGTGTGATTGCTATGAAACTCCTGGCAACAATGTTTGTGTTAAATTCAAGAGCCAAAAATCGACAGACTGAAAGATAGCAGATAAAATGTGGTGTTTGAAGCACATTTTTCCTCCAAATAAGGAAAAATGTGCTCCATCCTTAAAAAACGTCCAATATCAGAATTAAAATGATAATTTTTGAAAAAATTTATCAAAATTCACATTAAGAATAAAAACTGTCAATCATACATTTCTGAAAACAAATACAAAACCTCAATATGCACTTTTACACATTTTTGTTTGATCTGATCGGTTGAAACCTCATTTCCCAACTCCCCCTCTCTGTTCGGAAAGACAAGCACCGCTCAGCATTCTCAACTAAGCATGCACAGTATAGGCTGTGGTCAGATACACAAAGAAATAAATGAATGAGCTGCTTTAATGCTACATTTAGCCATTTGATTCTGCAACTTGCCGGGCTCGCCGTTCCTGGTGACCCTTACCATATGAGGGAGCTGGACATTAGCTAAAGTGTTAATCAGTGACTGGCTGAGGTTGGCCAGCTCATGCAGGAGAGATTCATTTTGCTGTTCAATCACCTTGTTTTCCTCCTCTACGGACTTCAGGTTGGACTCCATTGTCGTGATCTGAGGAGAGGAGGGGCGGATGACAGGGTGTTACATGGTACGAGCACGTGGGCCAGGCCATTGCACGTAGCACGCGGGCGAGGGGACTTACCTGCGTTCTCAGTTTGATCATGTCCGCCTCCACCTGCGAATTGGATTCACTTAAGTCTTTGATTTCCTCGTCCAGCTGTTTGATCTCCTCCTCGTGCTCCAGCCCTGCAGATGAGCGGCGCCATTAGCACTGACACTTCAGCGCAGGAACTCCGTCATAAATTAGATTAACGGCCTTTATGTCTGCGCTGAAGTGATTAAAAATGACACAATGTGACTCCGTGATTCTGTCGGACTACGTGTGCGACTGCCTTCACCTTTACAATGCAGCTGGTTCAGGTCATTTTAGCGGATTAAGACTCAACGGTCTCGCGGACAAATTACATTATGATCTTGTCACATTCCTCCACGAGGCAGTGAAATCTAGTGAAGTGTTCGGAAAACGGACAATCTATAACTCAGATATTACACGTGTGATTACTCCGCTCTGTTATTTCAGATTGGAACCACTCTTCTCATTACACTCTACTGAATGTGGCAGCTTATTTCCAATTTAAGCCTTTACTCTGATGCTGCTCACTACACACACACACACACACACACACACACTGATATATGAAATTTGAAGCTCTGTTCAGCTCTCATTCCATGTCCATATCCCTGATTGGCTGCATTGTGCGGGCGGGTGGTCGTTGTAGTTACCGTTGCTGGCGCGTTGCTGCTTTATTGTGAGCATTTCCACTCCGGAGAGCCTGGCTTTCCTCATGGCGGAGGTGGCACGTGGACAACCCGACAGACTGCAGGCACAAACGAGAAGAGGAAGGACTGTTTCACTATATTCCAAACACATATACACACACAATGAGCCGTTGTAGTTTTATAGACTGTTGAGTTTTTTTACACAGGGGAGAAGAGAAGAAATGTTACGGTTGGTTGTTCGATCCCAGCTCCTCTAATCTGCTTTCCAAAGTGTCCTTGGGCAAGATACTGAACTCCAAATTGCAGCTGGCAGCTGTGCCGTGTATGAATGATGTGCAATAGATAAAGGTGCGGCATATAGACACTCTGTAAGAATGCGAGTGTGAATGGGTAATTGCGACTTGTGCTGTAAAGCGATTTCAGTGGTCGATAAGACTGGAAAACTGCAATATAAATACAGTCCATTTGCGATTTACCATTTAAGTGAACCAGTCTTGATTTGTAAAATTAAAATGGAATTACCTCTTTATAGCTTGGTGCTCATGAATCATTTTTCTCCTCCTCATCCAGCAGGTAGAGAAAGTTACACAACTTATGTAATTACTGTAATTTTTCTTGATTTGTTACAGAATGAAGGTTAGCACATTGCCCCATATTTCCTTTTATTATACTTCATTTTTAAATACCCTGCAGTTCTGGACACATTTTTTTATAATTATGATTGATTGTGCTGGATGTAATTTTTTAAACCAAAGATAAGTGGTCTGTATTGATATAGTACTTTTCACTTTACTGTCTGAGCAGTTTTTTTTGTTTGTGTCAGTGTGTGTCAGTTAAACCTGATCAAACCCAACCCTCACAGTCTTGATGTCACACATTAGCTGGATTTTGAGAGGAACACTCTACAAATGAAACATAAAGGGATTTATTGCAAAGTTTGATTGCTGTTTACTCCTCCATACTCTAAAAAAGAGGCTTTAATGTGAGCACAGAAAAACCATCAGTCTGCACAGTGAAGCTCAGACCATAGGCATTATTCAGCACTGCAGCCGTGTCCCCTGAACCCACCTCCGATGCGTCAGGAAGCTGCCACTGACGTGACCCGAGCCGTCGCAGCCCGGCGTGGGGCAGGACATGCCCTCCGTCTTGCCAGACTTCCACGTGAACTGGATACCATTTAGATAGCCGTCCTTTTGTCTCTTGGCTGCTATGGGGCATCCGGACGCACTTCTGTGGGACGCGTACTTCCCGGTCACATGTCCCTGACCATCACAACCTGGGACTGGACACCTGGTGAGGACAGAGGAGGGGGGACAGATGGAAAGGTTCAGTTGAGTTGGTTGAGGACAGAACTTTAAAAAAAAGAATAAATGGGCATATACAAGATTTTTGTTTCACATGCAGATTGGGGATTAGGTTGATTGGAAATTCTACAGTCCATAAGTGTAAATGGTTGTTGACCTGCCCCCCCAAACACACACACACCCACAACCCTCAAGAGGACACACAGTAAAGACAATGGATGGATGGATGGATTTTGTATTGCTAATAACGTGTGATGCATCATGTTTATTGGTCAAAATGGTTGATTTTGATTAATTGTTTAACAGACATCGTTTAACAACTTTCACTTGCTTTCAAATAAAAAAAACCAACAGTCACCGTTTCATGATTTGGGAGATGTTCAGTGACCTGCTGTCTATGTGCTACACACCACAGTCTACTCCTTCTGAAGACTGGAACACTACACTGTTGCAAATCTCATTCTTTTTTCTAGTTTCCTCTCCCATTTCTTCTGTTTTGATATAAACAAAGATATGATCGTCTTATTTTAAAGCTGTCCCAGTGGCAACCTTATCACACTTTCGGGATGCTGACAGTGCATCAACACCAGTGCTAATCAGATGCAATGAGGCAGTAAATCATTCCAAATGTCACACCCGGCAAAATGGATTCTGGCTAAAGCTAGCAGGGGTTGTCAAAGTAACAGTCCTGTAATGTGAAACTACTGGTTTTAGTTCAGCTTCATGGCTTTTTCAGTGCAGGGAAAGACACAGGGGGGTCTGATGTGTACTGTACATTTAGATCAGCAATCGATCCAACAAGGCCTTCTAAACATCTTGACCCACAATGGTCCGGGCAAGTTCCATTTTTATCAAACAGTCCCACTCTGCATTCCTGGACCTCCCTCTGTCTCTCTACAGTCTCAAAGAAGTGTAACATCCATCCATCCATTATCTTCTGCTTATCCGAGCTTGGGTCGTGGAGGTATCCGACCAATTATGGCATTCCTCTCCCTAGCCACGCTTTCCAGCCCTTCCTGAGGCGTTCCCAGGTCAGATGGGATATGGAGTCTCCTCTTGGTTGGGTTTGCCCGGTAAACCTCCAAAGGAAGGCGCTCAGGAGGCATCCTGATTAGATGTGCAAACCACCTCAGCCGTCCCCTCTGGATGTCTGAACTCCACACCGTCTCTAAGCCTGAGCCCACCCAACAGAGAAAACTGATTTTGGTTGCTTGTATTCGTGCCCTCGTTCACTATCCAGAGCTTGTGACCATAGGTGATATTTGGAAAATAGATCCACCAGTAAATCCAAAGCTGTGCCTTGCAGCTCAGCTCCATCTTCACCTCACCTGTCTGGTACAACGCCCACACTACTGCTGATGCCGCACTGTCCTGCCTGTCCATCTCATGCTCCATCTTCCCATCACTTGTGAACAATAGTCAGAGATACTTAAACTTCTTTATTTGAGGCAGCAACGCGGAATAGGAGGAATAGGAGTATAACAATCTCTACATAATATGTTATTTTGTGTGAACTATCCCCTGAGCCTCCTTCACACATTTACCATATTCTATTTGTGTTTCAGCTCCAAATATGCCAGAGCAGCCTCACATTGGGCGAATCATTGCTTGTAGTGGAGTTTGTAAGTCCTGCAGAGCTTTTGTGGGATTCCAGTGTGTATCTGAGTGTGCTGGTGCTGAACACAGTTTCTTTTGAATAATATTTTGTGTGTTCTTCATCTTTTAGACTAAACTATTTAATTACATCTTCTCAACAGAACAGTCTGTGTGACTCTGCTCTCAAGTGTCGTTATTTTTCATATACAAATAGCAAGGCTGAGCCATAATGAAGAGCAGTGACAGTGTTTTTATACGTTTTATTTGAGTTCAGACCTCCATGAATAGGATGAGACTTTAAGATGTTACTTGACCTCTGAGATGATATCACAATCTAATCTTCTCTATCCGGTTTCAATATTTGGACCCATTTTAAGTAGGAAAAGTAAAATCTAAAATCAGCTTCCCTTTGTTTGACTATAGTCACATCAGCACAACATTTAAAGATGATAGATAGGATCATTATTGGCACCATCACAACCGACTTAAGTAAATACGCATTGTACCTCCAAATGTGGTTTGACCTTTATATTGTCATTATTTTATTTTTAAGAATTTATCAACACTGGATTCAAACAAGTTCAGTGAGGGTAACAATTCAATTTTACTTATATAGAGGAGCAGATGTAGGGGAACAGGGGGAGTGGGGGAGTGGTCCTCAAATGGGAGACTGTGGAACCATGGTAGTCCATGAAATATTTTTAATATATATCTAATATCTTTCCAAGACATTTTTCTTGTGTTTTTCTTTCACATAACTAAGCAGAAATATAGAACAGAATAATGAATTATTAGAGGGAATATGTTCTATCATGTAGGGGTCGAGAATCTTTGATGAAGAGAATAGCAAAACCTCAAACTATGTCTAGTATAAGAATAAAGAGCAAACACTTTTTCTGATACAAACACTTTTTAAATGCACTAATCATCAGGATATAGATTTTTTTCCAAGAAAATATGGTGAACAGAAGGATTCTCATCTTGGCATTTAATTACCTCTGAAGCAGGTTATGTTTTCACCCCTGTCCATTTGTGTGCTGGTTTGTTTGTTTGTAAGCAAGACAATGCAAAAACCACTGCACAGATTATCACAAAACTTGGTGGAAGGATGTGGTATGAGTCAGGGAAGCACCAATTTAATTTTGGTGCAGATCCAGATCGGGGGGCGGATCCAGGAATTGCTTTTCACTTTCTTTTAGATTGAGAGATGGGGGCGTTTTTCAATATATGTCTTGATTTCTCAAAGAATAATTCATGAAATTGATGAAAAATTCATTAGGCATGTTTAGGGAACTGATATTTTTTTGTGTCTTCAATTAAACATCTGGATCTAGTGAATTTGAATGTGGTTTTATATGGGGACATGCAGCTTGGCCTCTGCAGAGGTTCTAGTTATCTTTCTTTCTCTCTTTGTCCATCACTTTTAGTGTTTAGAGCAAATGATCAAACATCTGCATCGCATCTCAGGCTAAGTTGTAAAGTTTCTTTCTGTAATATCGTAAGGTCTTTATCTTAATTTGCAAAAAAATTCAATGTACAAAATCGAAATTAAAAATTAAATTGAAACCTCAGCATTGGATGGAAACAGATTAAGGCATCCCTGAAACATGTTTTCCTGCAAATCTGTGAATCATCCCAGTTGATGACTCATAATGCTCTAGAAAGGTCTTTACATTCTTCCTATCCTCTCTCACCACTGCACATTCCCCCATCTTCTCTGAATGCCGGTCGAAACTGTCAATGTTTCAGCTGACTGCCAGATATCTGCTCACAGTGACATATCAGTGACCTGGGAGCCAAAACCAGCAAAAAAACCAGCAGCGGGCAAATGCAGAGCTGCGCTGTCGAGGGACCAACCAGTCTGTGCTGTGACAGTTCAGAGGATGCAGAGCGAATGTCGAGCCTGATGAGATCCGTATTGTGGTTCATGCCAGAGTGCCATGGTTATGAAGTGTGGGAAAACGACTGTGGCTGGGGAGTGAGGCTGAACCCAGTGATTCTTGTTTTAAACAAGCAACAATCCCCTCCCCCCCTCCCGAGGTAATCATATTTTTGACTTTCAATGCTAGATTTGGGATTCTCTTTGGTGAATTTCAATATTTTAATGCCAAACGAGCACACTGACAGGGATACCTGCGGCAAACTGTCCTCAGGATCCGACAGAGCGACATGATCGAGAAGCGTGTTGCTGCACCACCGGAGAAATCAATGCAGCTGCAGGGCTGAGGCCCGAGAAGCCCACAGTGGAATTTAGGCTGTGTCCAATCAATCTCTCTCTTTCTCTCCTTCTCTGCTCGCCTCTCTCCGTCTTTTCCTACCTGTGCGCCTGCAGCAGCTCACCAGAGACTGCACCCCCCACCCCTCTAAACTACTACAAGCTTGCACTTCTGAAGTTTCCCCCTGCAACCTTTTAGATTCAGGTTGAAACTTTTACACCTCATAGCACATTTGTCTTGTCAGAGCTAATGCTGATTTATTCCTGCTTGCATCAGTGCATGTCAAAGAGCAGTGCACTGTTCTCTCATCCCAACATCAACCCTTTTGGCTTCCATCCGCACAGTTCCCTTGCATCATTTTGAAAACAGGAAAAAGTAAAGTCATGTTTTCACATTTCACATGGGAGATGTGTGAAGTGAGCTGAGAGCAGTGAGCGGTGGAAGCAGGATGGGAACAGTGTTGGTAGCAGGATGGGAGTTTTATAAGGGGAGACAGAAGACTGATGATCAGTGTCTGGACTGTACCTGATGGGCTCCTGGTCCTCCTTGTTCTCTTTACTGTGTATGATCTTTATCCCACTTTTCCTGGCCCGCGGACACCCTGAGAGACTGCAGATAAATGACAGTGTTGCCAAGTTGAAGCGCAGAGTACGTGTGTGTGTGTGTGTGTGTGTGTGTGTGTGGGTGTGTGTGTGTGTGCGTTGAGAGATAGAGGAGGGGAAGTAAAGCAGAAGTAAAGTAACATTAGAACTTTAGGATGGTACAGATGGTATGAGACAGAAAGGAGAGGTGTATTGAGAAAAGGGAGGGGTGTGTGTGTGTGTGTGTGTGTGTGTGTGTGTGTACCTTCTGTGTGAGGCGTAGTTGCCAGTGATATGTCCCGAACCATCGCACCCTGGTGTCGGGCACCTGGGGCAGAAAACACAAAAAGGGCTCAGGGTCTACAGCAAAGGTAGAGTGAATTAAGGATTTCCATAGGGGATATTTTTAGTAAATGTATAAGTGTTCATTACAGCAGGTAGCTGTGGCTACACACATTTGCTGTCTGTTCACCATCACATTTTCTGTGCTTCTGACGCTTTTGGATATCAGCGTTAATTAACTTTACAGTATAAATAAATACGTTTCCCAGAGACACACCCAAAAATTCTAATGTGCGGCCTATCATTCCTATCCACATTATTCTTTACAGGACCACGATTTCCTCTGATATAAACTGACACTCATAAGGTTGACCTGACACCAGGCAGGATGTTATCACATACGCACAAATCATACACATATCTGTGAGTCATCTCACGTCTTACTTGAGCTCTTGCGCGTTGTTGGCCAGCATACTTCGAATGCTTTTATCAGCTAAAGGGCAACCTGAGAGACTGAAAAATACACCAGCCCAACATTAGTTTCACCACGGTGACAACACAGCCCCAACCACTGACACACAGAGCAGTCTCTCTCTCAGCCTGCACTCATCACATCCACATCATGAACCGACACATGCACACAGAAAAACAGCAATCAGGAAATGCAAAATACCAAAAAAAACAAAAATGCCATGATGCAAGTGCAGGAAGTTGATTAGAAAACTTTAACCCTCTGAGTATTTGCACTGTAGTGAATTTAGAAATCCCCTGCACATGCAGCCATGTCAGGGTCCAGAAGTCTGAGACCTCTTTCCCATTCAGACGTGCGGACTACACTGTACTGAATATCATTCAGTCCTTATCTTGCACTGTAATTCTGCTCTGAATGGTAAATGCTTAGTCTGCACAGCACTCTGGGAAGGGCCTGGAGGACTGAATAACATCAGCTTAGAAGACTTTACACACACGACCCACTGAGTAGACATTTCATCCCAGGATTCAGCTTTAAAATGAGCATGTATCCAATCTTTTATTAATTTGGTCTTTTATTTATGACACAATTGTTCCAGGGACGTCAAGTAGCCAATAGTCAAAGGGCTAACGAACAGGAGAGAGAGAGAAAGAGAGAGAGACACTGGGCCTACAGGTATTTTGACAGCATAGTCAAGGTAAGCTGAAAACAATAAAGAGAAATAGACTTAGAATCCACCAGGAGAAAAGCAAGTCACACCTTCGATGCGAGGCGAAATTGCTCGTCAAGTGACCACCTCCATCACACCCCGGTGTGGGACATCTGCCACCGGAAAAATAGACAGATTTATAAGCCCAAAGGGAAGGAGAAGAAAACGTGAAAATTAGAGGTAAAAAAAAAAGAGAGGAGGGATCGTCTCTTGATTGTTTAGGTTTTTCATTGTTTCCAGTTTAGCTTCACTGTCTGATTAGCATTGTGTTTCCTGAGACCAGCCACACTTTATACGGCATGATACAGACAACTATGGTGTTTCATTCCTATCATAATTCAAGAGCATGGTCTTTTAGTTTGAGAGCAGAACTTACTGATTTTTCGTTTAGATTTTATAATGCTGTCATTTGAAACCTTGTGCTCGCAATAGCCTCTGCTGTGCATAGATTTGCTCTGCTGGTTCTCAAACCTTACATTTACAATCTGATGTCCTGTGCTCCAGGATTCCGGGATTTTTTTGTCAAGTCTGTCAAAACTCACTAACCAGTAGAATGCCAGGTGTGGAGATAACGTTGGAAATTGCCCCGCCCTGGCTTTGGTTACTTTTACTGTTGGTATTGTTTTTATGTTTGCTTGCAACAATGTTCCCATCACGTAAAACACTTGGAATCCTTGATTGTGCTGCTTCATGTTGATCAGTGATCTGCTGGACCCCTGCTCTGTAGTTTATTATTGAAGTCCACAAACAGGAAGCTGGTGTAAACAATGGAGGGTGGGAGAGCACAAACCCAGTTAAAGTTACCCTCTGTTTATTGGACTCTCAAATACGAAGACAATGTCACTTGTTAACACTATAAACCACGTTAGCGTGAGGAGAAGAGCTGAAGCGAAGGAAATCTGTGCAAGCACACAGTTTGAGCACAAGCAGAGCAAATCTAAGTACAAGCAGGGGCGATCTGAGTGTGAATGCAGGGTTCGGAGTGAAAGCATTAAAAAATCTGACCGTTAGTCAGTTTTGCTCTCAAACTGAAACATCACACTCTTGAATAAAAATAAAAAAAACATAGACAACTAGTGTTTGCGAAAGCATAAAATAATTGTGTGTGGGGGTACTACAATGAACTCATCAGTGGGAGCTACCAGCTCTAAGATCAGCGTGGACAAATGAATAAAGCCGCTAAATCAAAGTCATACAGCAAGCCACTGGCAGCAGCACAGGATGGAGGGAGGGTGGGGGGGCATCTGCAGTTAACTATAATACATAGAAGGATGAAAACAAAAGAAAGGAAAAAAAAATACGAGGGGTGGTGGTGAGGGGGGTGTTGAATCGGAGCAGAGCTTGAGTGGGGGGAGAAGCAAGTTGGGGTCGAGTGGATGATGGGAGGGACTACTGGTGTGTTGGGTTAAAGTAGGAGTGGGGGGGCGCTCTTACGTTATCAGGTCCTTCTTACTCTCCTTGCACTGGATGTACTTGGGCTTGGGGCTGGGCATGTTCACGTCGGTGGTGTAGGAGCGGTCGTCCAGCAGGTCGTGGAAGGGGTCCAGGTCGTCCGGCTGAGGGTGAGAGGGGAGGCAGAGGAGGGGAGAGAGAGGGGAAGAGGGAGGCAAAGATGGATTTTCAGTCTGTCATAGTATATTGTAAAGAAATCATGCTTGTGTGCATAAAAAAAATCACATGCACTCTACAGTATGATTGCTGGAATGCAATTTATTCATTTGCACATGATAAAAACTCTTTGCCTCTGTCTCTCTCTCTCACACACACAGTCATGTCTACATGACTTCAGAGGACATTACATTGACTTGATTTCTTGCAGACTCTAACCTTAACCATAGTTACTACTTGCCTTACTTAAACCTATCCTTAACTTAAACCCAAACCTAACCTTAAAACATGTCTTCACCTTAAATTTGAATCATTTACATTTAATGGGGACTTGTTTTTTTTTCCCTGTAAGAAGAACAAGTCCCCATTATGTGACACGAACAACACACACACTGTTCATTTGGCATCGAGTCATTATTTCCTCTCAGGGATTCTATTTTCTTCCTCTGTTAGACTGACAGGTGAGGTGCAATATTCACACAGTCTCTATCATTAGCATTCAAATTGACAATACTCTATGGGCTGACAGGTGTGTGTGTGTGTGCATTTTCAGAGCATTGTTGTGTGCGTACAGATCACTCAGGGAGTCGGCCGGGTGTATTCTTGTAATGCACCGCTCCGCCAATAGATGGTACTGCGGTGCAGCGTCAGGACGCTGCTGCTGCTGCCTTGTGTCAGTGTGGGGCTGTGCTTTGTCTGCAGTGCACACAGCCAGGGCAAACTGGCTGTTGATGCAAATCCTCGTTCCCTTTCTTCCACGCTCGCAGTGTGTATATACAGTAATGCCCGTAGAGAGAGACGGGCCCAGATACAGCCCAAATTATCCCGCACTCAAGCTGTCTCGGCATGTGTGTGATGCTGGGTCAGCCAGCGAGCTCCTCCAATTAGAGGGCGCGTTGGGCTGAAAGGCTGACAGGAAGGAGAACGACACATGCATACATACAGGGATGCAGAGCAAAAAGTAGGCTAGGGATGAAACTCACACATACACGCAGACACACTCCCAAAGAGACACGGGTACAGACATGCACACATTCGTATGAATATTCACATCTCACACGCACAGCATCAGAGGCACATGTACTGTACATGCAAGCGCCTCCACACACCGACAGGCGCGCCCAGCAGTGCTGCATTGATTTCCAGCAGCTCTTTGATGAGATGAGCCATTCCGATTCCCTCCCAAGGTGCTGCTTTGCATAATTCATTTTGGAGAGGAGCGAAATGTAAAAAACAGAAAGCCGGCATGCGGGGCGCGCGATACAAACAGAGCAGCTACCTCTGTGCATGGCAATGCTGACATCAATTAACATGCAGATTCATTAGGTCTCCCTCAAAAAAGGAAAAATAAATCCCTAATATGACTTTCTAATGACTGCAAATGTAACAGTGAGTCAGACAGGGAGGCAGGAAACCTAGAAGACGATCAGATGGCAAGGCAAATGTTTGACTTGGAGACACTGTGTTGAATCAGTGGTTTGGAGGGAGATAATTTGGGCTGAGACACATGGAAGAGGCAGAATGAGCGACGCATGCCAACTGTACAGTCTATCAGCTCCGAACAGCACAAACTAGCACACAGGCTACAACTGTTTAATAGTTACAAGTGCAGTGCGCGTTGTAAACCTGTCTGTTTGTAATGTTCTGTTGTCTCGGCCTGTGTTAATGCTCCGGAGCTCCTTCAGAATTATTCATTAGTGAGTCCTCCTCAAACAGTTCTACAATATACTGTCACTTGTTTTGTGTGCTGGATGTTGTGTGCAGAGCTTTTTAAAAGCAGTCTATGATGCAGAGTGAAGTTACAAAACTTTGTGTTCATCCTACCTGGTTTATCTGCATGAAGATTTTATAGTCTGTGTTTTTCAGAAATTGAAACTGAATTTGCTTTAATTATTGTAAACATGTGAATGTGTGTGTTTGTCCGATATGGTGAAATAAAAATAATCAGATAATCAACATGTTCTGTGAGAACAGATATTATTGGCCACGGGCTGCCAGTTGTCGACCGCTGCTACCCACAGACTGAAGGCACACTGCCCCCCCCCCCCGACTGACACAGAATGCTGGTTTATTCATATTTTATCAATATACCAAATTGCACCAAATTAGACACTGTACTTCATTAAGCGAGTAGAGAAGGATCTACCTTCTAATTCCACAACATCATTTTCACAACCATTAGCCCCTTAATTTCTAATCCCTCTGTCTAATTCTTCTTTTTATCATTTTACTTCAATCGATCATGAACATGTGGGTTTAGCTGATCAAAAGTAAAATATTTGTGTGATTATAATTTGTGGAAGTTCAGGCATCAACAGTCTTTTCTAAACAGAAAATGCACACAGCATGATTCCTAATTTATCTGTCCACAAACCAGACACCAATGGCTCGTATGTATTTACAGCACTGTCCTTGTTATTTCCACCTCTTTACCTCTTTCTCGTCCTCATCTATGTGTTTGATCTTGGTGTAGTCTACTGGCAGGTCCCAGCAGTCAGCGGCATCCCCCATGCCGTAGCAGCGGGAGCCCAGCAGGGCCGCTTGCCTCTGGGGGGACATGGGCTCTAGAGGGGTGAGCACAGAGTCCCCTCCAGCACCACCTCCACCAGCACGGCCGCACAGACGCTTGCTCATACTCAGGTCCAATGTACCGTTCTCATCAACGTCTAGACCAGGACTCTGGAGGGTTTTGTGTGTGGATGTGGTTTTCGTGCATATGTGTGTGTGAGGTGAAGTCAGGTGAGTGTGCGTGGAGGAGATGATTTCAGTCAGATGATTATGAGGAAGGGGTAAAAGGATATAGAAGGCAGGGATGGAGAGAGAGGGATAAAAAGAGAGAGAGAGAGAGAGAGTTTCTGATTAAATTGCAGTCAAACATTCTCATACTCTAGGATCAGAGCTGGGCAAAACAGCAGCTGAGCGCACGGCGAATACTAGAGAAAGACATGAAAAGTGACTCTGATTTTTCTGTTCCTACAGTAAGGATGCTCACTTTGAAACTTTTCAGAAGTCTGGAAGAGATGGATCAGGAACACCTGCAGTTCAAATATCTGAAACAATATTCCAAATTCTTCCTTTCTGTCTAGCATGACAGACACTTGCAGTGCACAGTAACAACATAGCAAAGAGAAGAAGAAGAGGTCATCACTGCTGCAGGACGAGTGCATCCCTCTGTGAACCCATCCTTTCTCTGTCTCTCTCTCTTTCCTTCCATTCCACTGTCTGTACTGTGCAGATATAGGAGAATGTGTGTGTGTGTGTGTGTG